TATTCAGGTCTCAGGCGCTGCTGTGTTAACACATGCAAGTAGAAGCTGTTATGAGGATGAAATCTGTCGTTTAAACAGGTTCTTGAGGCTGTATTAACCTATAGAAGCATTGCTGTGTTATTAGCTTCAAAAGCTGGCAGGTCTTGTCAGATACGGAGGACCTACTGGCAAGGTGAAAGAGTAAATGGAATATATTAAAGTTTTAAAACTCTACACTGGAAATGATCTGACTCAACCTGGTGTGAAATCTGTTTTAACTTGACCTTTACTGCAATAACATGTCACTTTAACCCTGACTGACTATTTAAATTGTTGTAAAATTACCTTTGTAAGAGCCCTTTGTTAACTGTAGATTCTGAATTGCACCTCAGCAGGCAGATAACAGGAAATCACTGGGTATTAACATCAAAAGTTTTTAAAAAAGGAAAAATAAGACGAGAAACCTTGTTACATTCTAAATATTCTATTCATCTATAAAATGTTAAAACAATACAGTTTGAGAGGAGAAATTAGGAATTAAAATAAGGCTGGATCTGGAAGTCAAACAACCCCTTAACCCAAAGCAAAGTTATATATGATGAAGTATACAAATATAAGCAGTGTCAATCAGGTTAAATAATAAAGCAGAAGGGAAAAAATCAATATGAAATTGTTAACTTTTAAATTAAGCAACAAATGCCTGCATAGTGTCTCTAATTCTTTAGGAACCATCGCTTGATCAAAGGGCAGGTCTCGTGGTAGCTAAAGTGATCAAGTGGCTCTGTAGAAGGATGTAAGTGAAAGTACAATGTGGAAATATAATCCTCAAGAAGCTTGGAAAGACTCGTTTTTGCAAAGAATTTTGTGGGTACAGCAGATCAAAGGAAAAAAGCAAACCTCAACCCATGTTCGATCATTATTCACACAGTGTAGCATACTATATACAAACATGTGAATGCTTAGCAGACCCGTATTTAGAAAATATGATACCCCTTTAAAGTGCAGCAAAAGTTTCCATTAGTTGCTCAAGTCGCACGCCAAAAAGTCTTTATACACCACAAAATTCTTCCTAATGCAGTCCAGCTTTAGACTTTGTGATTGACATTTATGTGAGCTCCGAGGTGCAGAGACTTGTATATCGCCTTGTTGTGCATGAGTTCCACCTTGGCCGCTGGGAGAGAACTACAGTAAAAGCACATTAAGCATTTCACATCCAAACTCGCTGGAGGGCTGCAGTGTTTCCTAATGCTCGACTTTTTATAGCACACATCAGAGCGCCTGTGTGCGTGCGTATGTAAAATATGTGCGAGAAGGTCCGCTTGCATGAGCGCCTACGCATGCTCTCGTGTGTGTGCGTATCGTTGTACTTGCCAGCTTGCTGGTGCTCCAAAGCCATCTGGTATCTGGTCAGTCTAGTGAGCTTCTGGAGGGCACCTGGCCAGCAGCTTGCTCACCTGGCTCTGCTAGCCCCTGCCAACCACCACACCTGGTCTGGCCAGCGCACACGGAAAGGGAACAGATTGCACAGTGCAGTTAAAAGTGCTCCAACACTAAAGCATGAAATATTGGATATGTTTGCAATTTGATGTATAATGTAGGATTTATAAAGAATACGTCTCTCTCTGTGAGCTGTTAAATATCAGCGACCACACAGATCTCAGTGATTTTAGAAGACGCTGCACACACTCCTATAAGATTCCATAATGACAAATGTCTACTTCTATCACATCTGTCCCAACAGTTCGTGCCAGACTGTGCCTACCCATCCATTTAGCATATGATGGCACTTCCTTCCTGCAGGTTGTCCTCTGCTATCAATTACACACTCCTCTCCCAGCAAGAAAGATGCTCTTTGTCCCCTGATGTACGCACACAAACAAACGCGCGCGCGCACCGCGGACACAGAGGGACAGACACCTGCAGAGTGTTTGTCACCTCTTCTGTTGACATCTGCGACCGCATGGCATTGTGGGAGAGACGGCCATCTGTTGTCGGCAAGGCTGGATTAGAAGGGGACAAGGGGGCGAGATGCATCATGCTGCTCTTTTCTGTTGGTCTGAGCTGTGTGAAGTGTTGTGCCGTGACGGCACATGGCGTTTGTTGTTTGAAAGTGAAATAATACAGCAACAGAAAAATGTACTTTTTAAATTATTATCATTTTTGTTATTATTATTAAATAGACTACAATTCCCCCTGCAAATGCTGCAAATTTAAAAGTAACCGGAGCTTCTCTTGTGGGCATTACCACCTTTTTTTCCAGGAATTCAACATGCGTGCTAATTACACAAAAGCAGTGTCCTGTAAAGAATGTTTTGGATTCATTAAAACCACATTTAATGGTTGCTTTTTTGTCAAATTGTACTCCCTCCTAATTATCTTGGAAATGTTTAGCCCGCTTCACAGGGAGACAGCACATGAATGCTTGATTGACATGATAGTGACTGCAAAGTTTCTTCAATTATCCTGGCAAGGTTACGATGCCTGCCTCTTGTTTCACAGCAGGTCCTATTCTGAGCACAGAAGTACTAAACTCTACACTTCAGTAACCTATGAATTTCAAGCCCATTGAGATTGTATATAAAAGACAAACGTGGAGTTCGAACCATTTAAAAAAAAGATGTTGATATTTAAAACAGGTGGCTGATGTTTGTCAGTCAGTTGGAGGCTATTCAGTCCACTTTTGTCTATATTAAAGTACATCAATAACTACTGGATTGACTTCATGATTTTTCTTACAGCTTTGATCCTTGGAAGAGGAATCCTATACTGACTCAGATGATCAGTTATCTCACCATTTAGAGGCATCATCAGGTCAAAATCGTAATTTGTTATGATTCTTAATAAAATCATCAGAAATCGCATCCCTTTTAGCTGTGGTTTATGGAATGAGTAACAAAAAAGCAAATGTAAGGATGCTAATTGTCATCATGAGCATGTACTAAGTCACACGGGACTAAAAATAGGACGGCTCCCTGTGACTAGGAAATTCCATGGTTAAATTGTTGAATTGCTTTGCTAGGAGAGTAGTTGCAATGACCAGTTGTTTGTGCAGACGGTTGAGAGTGTTGCGCGCTCAAAGCTCTGTGCAACCTCTTTGGACTGCAAGGCAAACAGACTTGCCTGCAGTAACTCTCAGAGAGATTAGCAAATGACTGGTTGGTTGAATTCTGGATGTAAGTAGCTGATGTGAATTTATGTCTACGCAGATGGCAACAAAACAGATGAAAAGTAACTGCTATCTTAACCCCATTCAACTGCAAACTGAAAGCAAACTAACTCCACCTTGTTGCAGTTTTATCACCATCTCGACTCACCAAAGTTGCTTTGAAGATGGCAAGTTCCTGCGAGTGGCTGCAGACCTGTTCCTCATTGCTGAATGGACCATTTCAAAGGCTATGAGATCTCAAGGTCATTGCACACAGTTACAGTCATTTAGGTCTTGTTGAGTCTCCCAACTGTTTTCCCTTTTGTGACTGTAGCATTAGCGTTCTGATGCTAGCATTTAGCTCAAAAGCAGCATCGTGCCTAATGTGCTTGAAGGACTGTAGGCTTGTTCAATATGATGTCGTGCAGAATTTTAGCCATCTTCAGTGCTGTATGGATATTTTAAAAGCAGGCATAATTACAAAGAGTTTAAATTCAAGGAATCATTTAGCCCAGACCTCAAAAACACTGACTCAGTTTAGGATAGTATAGAACCTGCTTATCTTAAAAACACGAGTTATTTAAAGTTAGTTTGAGAATTTACTGCAATTTGTATGAATATATGAATAACTATTAACGGTAGGGCTATGTCTTTTGAAAAAATGCGGACTTTACTTTGATGCCTAAAGCTTTTGCACAACACAGTACAACCCCCAGAATTTTTTCGCGCAGAGAGTCAGCATCTATTCGCTGTGCTGAGAAAATTCATTCATGTAATACCCGTATTTACAACATCAGGTTTGCTGGAAATACAAAACATATTGTTCAGAGGGATAGAAAATACAAACTGAGCAACCATTTTCATGACTATGTAAAATTCTTCAATGTTAAGAATATACATGGCATCTTACTGTTAAAACAAAGGCAAATATTTGGTTTAAATAGGCACGGATAGAGTTCACTGGCGGCAACGGTACTCTGAGCCATGTGATGTTGGGAGAATAAATTTGCTTCACAAGAAATGAAGCGTTAACAAACAAGCAACTTCAGAGGATGTGGTCTTTCTCTTGAGGGATCGCTGCAGAACGAAAAACAAACACCAACAGCAGCTTTGGAAAAAGTGATACCCCGACAGGAACGAGTAACGTACGGCTGAGATAACGAAGACATTAACCCACATATTCCTGAAGGACGTTCATGTGTGCAGGACGTTCATTTGGCTGGCTGGGTTGTGGGTCTGCTCATCCAGCCGGCCTGCACACTGCAGACAGATGTTTGGCCAGCCAAGCCTGCAGCGCCACAGGCAGTGTGTGTTCTAGAAAAACCCAGAGCAGATGCTTCTACCTGGTGTCCCACCCGCTTGCCGCTCCGCTCTTGTGGGTATGCTTCAGTGGCCATCACATGACCTCAAAGCCGGGTTTTCAGATTGCGCGCTGTCAGTCACACTGGTGACAAAGTGGAGCGGCTCTGGAACTGATAGATGTCCTCGGGTCGACTCAGCATGCTCGTCAAGGTGGATCTGACAGGCTGAATTCATTTGTTTTGAATAATGAAATCCGATAGTGACAATACATTAGAAAGTATAAGGTGATTAAATCTTGGAAAATTGCATCAAAATAAACATAAAAACACATCACATAGATGCTACTTCTGATAGCTATTGAGTAAGTAAGATCAAAAGATACAATGCAGCATCAACATCTCTTTCAGCCTCATTTTCCCATGTTGTTTGCTCCCCAAACATAAAAACAATCACCATCCCGAACAAACAGAAACACACAATCTTTGTCCCTCTCCACGCTCCCTGTTACCAAACCCGAGGAAACTTTTGAAGAGATTCAAAGACACTCAAGATTAAAGATTTATTTTTTCTTTTGATGTTGCTGCAGCATTTCTGTCTGATTTCTGCAGCAAATGCAGTCTGGTAATGGTGGTTGTTTTTGGGGTTTTTTGCAGTGTGGCTGGTGGTGACCCAGAACTGCCAGAGACAGGGAGCTGGCCTGACGGCTGGGTTCTTGTCTTACACCCCCTCTAATGAGGAACGGTTCAGTAATGGTATCACTTCCTTGTAACCTCCAAGGACAGACAGTTTACTTGCTTCTGTTCATTTACAATATTCTATGGTGAGAGAAAGAAGAGAAAAAACAAAAGAGTAGTAAGAAGCCTGGATGGCTTTGTTTTGCAGCATTTCTTGACAGTCGGGTGCACTTCAAGTCTAGCTCGTCTACATTATTACATTTTACTTTCTCGCCTGTATAAGGGAACTTCTTTTGTTGCATTGTGTCGATTTGGATAAAGAGATTCTACAGTTATTGTCTTGTACATCTGGTGTCTTTGCCATTTTTTTCCTATTGCTATGCAACAATGAATGCAATGAAACTTTCTCCCTTTTCACCAAGGAATCTTTGGTCGCACTGATAAGATTTAAAAGTCAAACATGTCTTTGAATGTTTTGATTTGATGCGTAGATTCCAATAAAGCTTTGAATTCCAATAACAGCTCATTGTTCTTGCTTTTATTAACTGCTCTATCTCTTAGACTCGTCAGGCATATCTCAGTGTGCTGTGTGCATCAGTGCATCTCTCTCCCATCTGGTCGAGAGCCAGCAGAGAATCACACTGCCCCCTAGTGCCCGTACTCATTAGTAACACAACAGGATTGTTGGGGCAGCTGTCAACCAGACAATGCTCTGGTACTCTGCCAGTGGCTCGATACCAAGATCTGTCATGGGCAGCAATGCACAACAATAGAATCTAGTGATTGGAGTGGTGCACACCCCTGGCTATGACACCGGTCCACCGCTCGCTATCGAATGCCTGTTGTTCCCCTCTCTCCATTCACAAGACCCCTACTTCAGCAATCAGTGCTACACATTTCAATAGACCCTGTGCTGCTGCCCCAAGGAGAGAAGATGAGGAATCCACGTGAGCTATTGTCAAATAATTCTGGCAAAGACCACAATCTTGGCTTTGCTGGATCTCTGAAAATGACCGAATGACGGGGCATATCACATCGTGGTGTTTGTTTCTGGAGTGAGCTGGAAATCCTTTGCTTTAAAGGGAGCTATTATGGTCATTTCCAGTTCCACATTTTGAATGTTGGACACTGTCAAAGTAGCTTTGCATGACTCACAGTTAAAAGTCTTGTTTAAATTCCATTGGACCTAGATGCATCCCCTCAATTAAAAAAGCATCACACTTTAGCACCATTTAAAACCAACTTTATTCTGATTGGCTGCCCCTAGCAAACAGAAGGCTTCAACGGCAGGTGGGAGGGGCTTCTATCCCTGAGAAGATAAGATTAAGGATATAAACTCTGAAGCCAGAGAGAGCCGAGAGAAGAAAAAACAAATCTGAAACTGAGCATTTAAAGGAGTCTGATTACTGGTACAAACACTTATTATTGGCTATGTTTAATATGAGCATCCACCATTGTAACAATATGACAGAAACTAAGCGAAAGCATAATATGTCCAGTTTAAGCATAATATATTTAAGATACTAAAAGGTGGGGATTCATATACAGAAGGGATAATAGTAGTGATGTATTGAGCTTTAACACCAAATAAACAATTAGTATCTAATCTTATATTTCAGTTTACATATCACTTGTCTTTCTGGCCCCAAGATACAATGTAAGCTCAAACATCCAAAGTAAATGCTCCAAATGACAAGACAGACTAAATACCTCCAAACAAACGATGCAAGACTACAGAAGGCGCTTTAACAAAGGAAGTATGTAATGAACCTAAGGTGCCTTGTCCCCAATATATCATCCTGAGTGAATTTGCCAACATCACTCTCTTTACCTCCAAGCATGGTAAATGAGAATTTATGCCCCCGCTACTTTATCATTCTTTACTTTTTTTTTCACCCCCATGAGGTAGCCATGCCATGCGAGACGGATATTTTCACCAAAGGCAATATCCCCTCGCAGTAATTATATCAGAGCGAGAGAATGGCTCATTAACATATGTTAGGCATGTCAGGAATTTACAAGCGCCTTTTGTAGATGCCTCTCATCAGTGTGCTGCTCCCATCCGTATGGTATCTCCTTTGAGGATGTAACCTCCTCATTTCCATACACGTCAATCATGCTGCGCGTGATGTTAAGAAACATGCAGCACACTCTGTATGTGGCAATCATAAGGAAGAGCTCAGTGATATGGAAAAGGAATGCATGTGCACACGGGTGGGGGTGTGTGTGTGACTATGCGTTTTGTGAAACAACATGATGAAAACAACACTATGTGGGGAAAAAATATTGTGATGATGTGCCATCGGTGCAGAGCGAGTGAAGTGAGCGTGTCTGCTCCTCTGTAGTGCGTTAAAGGGATGTGTGTGTGTGTATGTGTGTGTTTGTGTGTGTGTGTGTGTGTGTGTGTGTGTGTGTGTGTGTATGTGTGTGTTTGTACGTGCAAAGACACGCATAAAGCTTGACACCAGAGACCAGACACCAGACCCACTAACAGACAAGTCCTGAGGCCACTGAGCGAGTGCGGCTGCTGCTGCACTGCTGCAGGACCCAACATCTGCTGCCTGCAAGAAGGCACACACTGTTGCCCTTTCACCCATTAGTATGATGCCAGCTGCAATGACCTATTTATCAGTTGTGGCCTTATAAAGTACTCAAATATATACATAGATTTTTGTCCATTGTGAAGATGTAAATAATGATATAAAGCTGGTCAATAGTTTTAGTTTCGTAGCCCTAACCTAATACTAGCTCCATAGTGTAGTAGCAGTGTCTCCTGGAAGAGGAACAGCACTCTTCCTCTCTCTATTGCGCCCACTGGTCGAGCGGCCAGTAAGGCTTCAGAGAGCGACAGAGAGCAGCAGTGCGCTGTGGGAGAGAAAAGGTAAAAGACCTTGTGCTGCACCTAACTTTCTCTCTGAGTGATCATTTTGCATGTAAGTGTAGCTGAGATCACAGCACCCGTGTGCAGTAATAAAATCACGAGGCGTTGTGGCCTTACACGATAGTTCAAGACTGACTTGCGTGGTGTTCAGTTCTGTGACCTGGCCCTCGTACTCTCCCAATAAACTAATTAGGTTGACTGAAAAAGGAAATAAAAGCATGTCCACTCGAGCAACTTCACATTTCTTTCTTTCTTTTTAAAACGGATGTGGTACGTGAAAATGACTCAAGAATACGGATCCATTAGCTGAGATTTTTTTAAAAGCAACCCAACTACAGCAAAGCAGGGGTCTGACAGATAAACCTATAAAGAGAGAGAGGGAGAGAGATAAAAGCGTTTGGTCCAGTCCTGCCTTTTTGCTCCAGCAAATTTCGTAACAATGACTGAAGACACAACGTCCATTTCCATCACCGTCCGCGCTCTCCATCTCTCCCTTTCATTCTCATTCATTGTCATTGCTTTTTTCCTTTAAGTGCACTTTCGCCCACACCACTTGGAAATTGATTGAAACAAAATGTCACAATTATGCCCTGTAGCTCGCCGCTTCAATTATTCATCAATTAGGGGCTAGGCTCCTTTTTTTCTCTCCTCTGAGCTGATTTTTCATTCAGTTTGCTCGAGATGTATGGCTCCCCTGCTGTTAACCAGTCCAAAGTCATTAGTTTCTGGGTTTGCAATTAAACCTGATGCATTATGCATGAGGCTCCGACTCAGCAGACACACGCAGCAGCGGCCGCAGCAGCTAGCGAACGAGCTAGTAAGCTCTGGAGGCGTGGATGGGAAATTAATTTGCTAGAAATGAAGTTCTCTCTAGCCCTCCCTCCCTCTCTCTATCTTTCTCTTGTCTGGCAGGTTGGAACAGATGCCACTTTCTGTAGAAGCCGATAGAGATGGGGCAGCTATAGCTGTGCAGTTTGATCAGCGCTGATGGGAAAAGGATGTGCCAAGGTGGACACAGACAGAAAAATAAAATATTCCATTGCTAAATGTAAACGGGTCTTCATATAGATTTTGCGCGGGTTAAACCCAGTGAAGGACTCCACAGAATTATCTCTTTACTGAGAAAAACAGGTGTGACAGGTATTCTCTCACAAAGGTTTTATGTTCAAGTATTTGTAAATAAAGGTTGTTTTTTTTTTAATTGTGTTGTTTTATCTGTTTTCAAGGATTTTACATCGTTGTAGCTGGCATAAAGCCTGCATTTTAGAGCCCCATTGAAACGAGGGTCCCATCAATGTTCATTTGCTGCCATCTAGTGGCTACAGAGTGAAATGTCAAATAAATTTAAAGGACAAAATCACTGAGGAATGAATCCATGTATGCTTCCAGACCTACACACATCACTTTGATATTCATTGAAACATTTTGTGCCTTCAGTTTAAGAGATGAAACAAAATGTATGAGATGAAAAAGAAGACTGTATCTTTAAATAAACTTGTATTTATCTTGTAGCAACACCAAAGTAGGCGTGTCCTTCTGTGTTAAAGCACCTGTATGAACAGAGAAGGGCACGCACTAGAATAGTGAGCATACTCCTCATTTTCATGTCCTGTAACACAAAGGCAACAGAGCTCATTTACCTACTTCAGTCATTATGTATGTAGCATTTTTCAGCCGTATTGCATACTAATGTATATCTGCTTTAGCAGGTGTCACAGAATTATGTTGTTGAAATTATGCAACTAGAATAGGGAAAAAAACAATGGATTCACCTTCTTTAGATTTACATAATGCACACAATGCAACCAGGTGGTGAGGAAGGGGCTGCAGCAGACCGCACAAGAACTGGCGGTATCCAGCAGACGTCTTTAGATTTGGATAGTGGGGAAGCATCACATGGATTAGAGAGAACCTGTTTCTGTCCTCCCGCAATACAAACCTAACAACCACTTCCTACTGGTACAAAAGGAAACAGTGATATGGAAACAAAGCCAGCATTAAAGGAGCAAAATATCTATTTTTTTTAAAAGACTGACATTTACCTTTAATATAAGTACTTCAGCATACTGCACCGAAGTCATGAGCTCACACTGCACAAACCTGTTCCCTTCACAGTGCAGTTCCGTTACGGCCAAGTTATTTCACAGTACAAAAGTAGAAGCAGAGATACAGCTTGACACAAATATCTTAAAAGCTACCTTATCAGTATAGGAACACTATTTTCAGTCAAAAATTAACTTCAGGGAAATTTAGATCGTGTGAGTGGCCAATCAAATTACTGATTTTCCTAAAACTCTTGATTGGCTGACTAAAACAAGAAAAGAAAAGAAAAGAAAAGAAAAGAAAAGAAAAGAAAAGAAAAGAAAAGAAAAGAAAAGAAAAGAAAAAACATGGAAAACTCAACAGGTAACTGGTGTGGGATTTTATGAGAACCCTCCTCTGGTAGGCTGGTCAAGTAGTTTCTGGCTGCAAAAACAGCTTTGTCAGCTCTTTGCACTGGTACAGCTGCCGAGGAAGCCAGGACAGCTTGTTGAAGTTTAGGTTTATCTCAGACAAGCGAGTGAGATGACCAAGCTTTGCAGGAACTTCCTCCAGCTTATTGTCCAGCACGCTGAGGTGTTCAAGCATAGTCAGACTTGAATTTGAGAGGAGGGGGGGTTTACATGCAGCATTTTCACAATGTGTGCACACGTGTATCAGAATTAAACTGTCATTAAATGATTTGTTGACTTCAGAACCTATAATTGCAGATATAGGGAGTCATAACGCACCTTTTAATCCCTGGCGGAAGTCTGTGAATCTGGTTGTGGTTCAGATTGAGGACAAGGTTCTTGAAGCCACCTGTAAAACATGAATATTGCACAGACACACACACACACACACACACACACACACACACACACACACAGATGACTGGAGCTTTGTATTAATCATACAAAACCAGTAAGAGCCTACCTATCACATCAGGTGGCACTACAGTAATTTGGTTTCTGAACAGGTACCGCTTTTTCAAGGACTCCAGATGGCCCAGAACAGCGGGAAACTCCTTCAAGGCATTATTTCCTAAATTCAGCTCAGCCAGCTTTCGGGCGTTGCAGGAGGAAAAGTATTTAATCACAAATCTGCGTGATGTGTAAAACATTTCAAGTGGCACCTTGGCAATTTTCCAGCAAATAGATAAGCTGCGAGCAAACAAACGAAGCGAGAAGACTCACTTGATGTAAGGAGAGCAGCTCAGTGGGAAGGCCTGTGATGGAGTTGTTGTTTAACAGGAGGACTGACAGGTTTGTGAGTCTGGAAACGCACTTGGGAACTTCCTTTATGTGCGTCGAGCTTAAATTTAAAGAGGCTGCTCCGGCATATAAAACCCTTATCACCCACTTTCTAGCCGCCGATTCCCTTTTAGCCATTTCTTTACGCCTATCGTAACGTTCTGTGGAGTTACCGTGGCAACAGCACGCTCTTTGACAAGTCAAAGATCTGATCCGGAGCAGCTGCGACCTCTGGTGGACACAGCTGGATATTAAACTGTTAAATATGGGTGGATTGATTATAATGGCCAGTTTTACCATGACAGTGAGGGTTTTTCATTTTTAATGCATGGTATATAAATTGTGGTGCCTATGAGGAATACAAGGATGCTCATTAGAAACATTCAGAATAAAGCTGTGACACACACACACACTCATGGTATTGTATGCATTTATGTAACTTGGTATCATTTACACGTTTAACAGCTCATTTCAGCCAAACAACACTGAAAACAACCACTCGTTGTCCACATTTGGTTGGTAGTCACACATGATAAGCAGCTCCTGAATCCTCAACTGCATGAGTGGAACTGTATTTTTTTTCTTTAAAAAAAAAAAGATTCAGCGATGCCTCTGAAAATGAGCTAAAAGGTAACCCTGTAATCATTAGGATTAGCCAGGGGTGACCCATGTAAAATCTTTTCACACATTCTGTTCAATTGTGTTTTTTTATTATCATTATCATGATTAACACAATGTTATCGTTTATACATTAGAAGTTATGTATTCATTTAGGTTTCACTCTCCGTATCTGACTTCAACACAGACATTTAACCGATGTGAAAACAGAAGCATTCTCTGTTGAGCTCAGCAATGTCTCGCTTGACCAGGGGTCTCCCTTCAAATATGTCATATTTTAGGGTGCTTTGTGTTAGAAGTTTGAACACTCTCTGCATTACGCCAACAGCCTTATGTTAACTCTCTCTCAGCTGTCCTCAGCATTGACTGGGTCCTTTAGCTGTTCCACAGAATTGTAGTGCTCTCCTAGACCATAAGCATGCCGCATATAGCTACAAGCAAAGAGACAGAGAAAAGGTTATTGTATAGGAGGAAAAAATAACGCACTATATCAGTTTCCTAGCTTTGACATGCAGTTACACGAAAATCCAAACAGTCAGATTGGATTTAGACTGGCAGTAGTGAAAAATGTGTTTGTAAATTTGTGATTGCAAATTTAAAATGTTTAAATGTTTACTACAACTACATTCATTTGCACATTTTTACTGACAGTGTTGTACTCTGAGCAAAAAACATATTTGGAAACATTCTTACACAAGTGTGATGGGTTCGCCGTCATATTCCTCCCCAATTTTTATGGTAGGAGAGTCCGCCTGGATCACCTCGATCGGCAAATGAAGAACTTGCGTCAAAGCTCGAAGCTGCAAAATTTGAAAAATTAAAAAAAATCCATTATTAAAATGAATTGAAAAGTACAACAAAACACTTCACTGTGTATAGTACAGTATATGACAGTTAAGGAGGAACTCACTTCCAGTTGTCCACCCCAAGCTGATGTGTGCTCCACATCACTGCAGTATTTCTCAAACTCATCTGGAAGCAAAAGACAAACATGTCAATTGAATATTAACAAATATAGCAGTGAAAGTTTTACTTTCATTACCAAAAACACAGATGGTCTCACCTGTTGTGTACATGTCACCTGTGCTTGGGTTGGTGAGGAAAGGCAGGAAGTCGTCAGGATGGCCTCTCATGTGCTCGGCAGTGCGGGATCGCAGTTCCTTCACACTTGTGGGGAATTGGAGCTAAAACAGAACAGAATGCAGTAGAAAATGTGTTCTGTGTGTCTAAACTTGACAGTTTCTCATTGAGTCATTTTCTGTATGACAAGCTGTACAGACTCCAAACACGGAAGGTGTCAAAGATTGTCAGCAATGCTCAATTTCTTATGTAATTCCTGACTCAGTATATAAACTACAGCTACAGTTATTATTCAATTCAATTTTGTTTATACAGCACCAAATCACAACAACAGTCGCCTCAAGACAATTGATATTGTAAGGTGGACCCTACAATAACGCATACAGAGAAGAACCCAACAATCATATGACTCCCTATGAGCAAGCACTTTGGCGACAGTGGGAAGGAAAAATTCCATTTTAACAGGAAGAAACCTCCAGGCTTTAGAGGGCCAGGGCTCAGGAAGGGCGACCATCTGCCATGACCAGTTGGGTGAGAGAAGGACGACAGGACAAAAGACATGCTGCGGAAGATGCCTCTATAACAACATGTACCTTTGATCGCCGTGTCAGCTGATCTTCAATAGCACGGTACATGCAGTGGCCATCAGAGGAGATCTCCTTGATCTGAAGCTTTTGCTGGGCGAGTTTTTGGACCAGCTTTAAACCCTCCTGATGTCTCACACCCTGCAGGTTCTGCACCTCAGCCTCTGCTATCCTGATCTCCCTCTCCTTCTCCTGTGCAGCCTTTTTGTCCTATACGAAATCATTTAAAGGTCAAAAGCAGGTAAATACGGGTGATTTATTAGACTCCAACTTATATCTAGCAGGCAGGACTGATCATCAGAGACCTCTCTAAAGCAGAGACATCATGAATGTGAACTGTGGTAAACAAGGACGATTGACTATGAGTTCTAAGTGTTCTTCTTCAGGAAAACCTAAAATGTAAATGCATAAAGGTTCGACAACACACAAGTCTTTAAAGTTGCACCTCACCCTTCTCTTCTGGGCTTTGGTTACTCGCGGCTGTTTTGCCTCCTCTTGTTCTCCATCTTCCACCTTTACAGTCTCCACTCCATTTATGACCTCTTCCACCTTCTAATATTGAGTAAAGAGAGAAATGGTTATGTCGTAAACTAGGGTTGGGTTTTGATAATCGATTTATCGATTAAAATCGATTCTGGCTTGGATAACGTGATATCGATTCATTAAAATCCTGAATCAATTTTTTTATATTAATTTTTTTTTCCAGAAACGCCAGAATCTCAGGTTAAACCTCACAAAATTTCAACAACCACCAAACATTTAAAACAGTAAATGAGAGCAGGAACATGGATTCTGCACAAAGACGTAAAAACAAAGCGCGGACCCGCAGATCAGAATCAGTGAGATGTCGCCTTTCTCACCCGACGGCACGGACATGGTCGGGGCTGAAAGCCGACAGCTCGCTGATTCCGATGTTTCGGCGGGTCCGCGCTTTGTGTTTACGCCCTTTTTGGGCTGATTCTAAAGCTGTTAGTTTTATCTCTCTCCAAACAATATTGACCGAACCAGCAGCAAAAGAAGATCCAAACTAAGCTCCACATAAACATCGTCATGAATTCCCTCTGACTTTTGCTGTTTTGCTTCCACCACGATAAAAATCACACTTCATGCACAACTCTCACTCTCTCTGTATACTTCAAGAACAGTTTCCCATCTAAAAATCTGTTTTCTGCATTATTCGCTTGCTTGTTACGCACAAGTCTACCGTTGTTTACAGCGCTGTTGGCCGCTGTTTTTTTTCCTTTTACTTACTTCCGAAAAGAAAGCCTCATTTCTGCTGTTCAACAGACTTCTGAACAAATGTAAACTTTTTTAAATTGTGCAAAATGCAAAACGTTTAGCCGTGTCTCTAATAAAACCGCTGTCATATGTTGATTAATGGTTTTCTTTCGTTTTTGATGTACTGCAGAATATTTTTATAAAATCCCAGGCCAGCAAAACCACCTTCATGTTTTTCTGTGTTTTATCTTCAGCTACTTTGACACAAAGGCATCTGCTGTGATGTTTACACCTTTGATAAAGTCTTGCGTGTGTCAGCTTCCTTTATATAGATACAAAAATATGTAAAAAATATGTAAATGTACTGATCTGAATTATAATATTTCTAACTGTCTGAGGCAAAACTTCCCAGATTTAAATCGAATTGAATCGAATCGTGGATCGAATCAATATCGTCACTGACCTAGAAATCAGTGACGATACCCAGCCCTATTGTAAACTGCAGCTGATACAGCACAAAGACTAGAATCATTTACATACTGAATGTATACTGAACACATACAAAAACCTTTTAACAGCTGTGTTCTTTCCCTTTCCATCTTACACTTGTTACCCCATTATGAAAGAGTGCTTCTACATTAATTACTAATCAAACTCTACCCGATTTGTCGACCATGTAAACATAATAAGTCACCTTTGTGTCAGCTGTTGCTTTGAGCTGCCTGAATTCCTCCTCATGTTTCTGACTCAGGTCAGCCTCAAGTTTGGAGATCTCCTCTGTCAGCTGTTTCCTCCTCTTCTTGTCATTTTTGGGGACTGCATTTTTCATGCCCTGGACTTTAGCTGAAAATGACACAAAGCAGACCATCAAACAAAACAGTACAACACAACAATACAGATGATGCTGCATACTGGTTAGAAAAGTTATACATGCATAAAACTGCCAACATAGTGAAGGATACACTGTCATAGATAGCACTAATGCACCTAAAAAAAAAGATTAAAATGTTTCTGCACCTGTCTACACCAACTGCACAAACAGCTGATTTTACATTATCAGACATTATTAATTATTTTGCAACATGTGGCATGTGAAAGAAATGTTTTGATATCAGTGGTCAGCTAAAGCAGCAACTCATTTCACATCATGAGCTACATACAGCCAACTTTCATAGTAAGTGAGCCAGACCAGTGAAACACCTTCTTTCAGCCAGTGTAAAGCAGTTAAACCACAAATTGAATCCTTGAGACATCTAAAAATAAGACAAAGAAGTGCAATTTCAAAAAATACCTCAGTTTTTCTACATGATAAAGAAATACTGCAGTAGCAAATGAAATAAATCTTTCAAAATGACTCTTTGGGTTTAAACCGTAGGAAACAAAGGTGTAAAATTACAGAAGCATTTCTGGTGGCTAACTTGCAAGACTTTTCCTTTAGAACAGAAAGCTTTGTTAATTGACAAAATTCTATTTTTATTTCTTTTCTGTTGTTTAATTACTTATCTATTACCTAATTACTTGGATGTAGTATGAAATGCCATGGTGAAGATCTTTTTCATTCGGAAAAACTATAAAGCTTATTAAAATACAAATCACATTTTCCAAAGCCGGTGGGGCCGGATTGGTGTGTTTGTCAGACCGAATCCGGCCCTCGTGCCTTATGTTGGACACCCCCTGGGCTAAAGTCATCAAATCCTTAAACGTTTCTCCCAACAGTGATCTGTGTATTAGAGGTTTATTACTCTAAAAGCAAAACAAACCACGCGATAAGGCTGGCAGTTGCCTCACAATAGTAACCACAGAAACGTCTGCGGTGACCATTATTTATTTACTTGATGGTCACTTAATAGCGGCTAAAGTAAGACTAAACACTCCGACACATAAATGGCCTGCACAACACACGGGCACGCTAACCAGCTACCAGCAAAGGCTGAGATGTTAGCCCACCAAACAAAAGAGCACTGTTAAAAGTAGCTACCCTGCAGATCCTTCTTCTCCTTGCGGTGCTGCTTTGCCAGGAGCTCCTCTGGTGTCTCCACCTCCTCCATGACTGGATGCTGCTGTTAAGGTCAACCACTAACAGTGCTTACGAGGTACATGAACCTGACTACCATATGTGTTATTAATGACTTGTTATAAAATGTAGCTCATCATTAGCACAAGATAAAAGCACACAAATACAGTGAACGATAAATAAAACGTGCTGATATGGCCTTATCCGGAAGAGAGGGTGGGGCTTCTTCTTCTTCGCCAAAGATAAACTCCGAGATTGTCTCTATACCGCCACCTCTCGGTATGTTGTGTACTACATTTCCAGGCTGTCTCGGGACTACGTTCTTTATTTTAATACATTTTATTAAATATATTTTAAATAAATATATTTTCTAGACACGTCGTGTTCATTTAATCTCATCTTCATCTAAGAGTGGACAGGAAAAAGTGTTTCCTCTTTCTTCGTATCTTGTTTTTAGATCTTTACCACTGGTTTGCAACCTGGGGAATAACAATAACCCTCTGAGACAGAAAGAAAACAAATATTTTGAATTTGAGGGTTTGTGGTTATACTGAACAAGGTATGTGGACCTACCGGGAGGGAGGAGAAGAGGAAGACCTGAAAGGACATTTGTGGATGCAGTGAAGGAGTGAATACAGAGGGCCTTTGTGACAGAGGAGGATGCTAGAAGTAGGGTGAAATGGAGGCAGATGATCTACTAAAGGGAGCAGATGAAAGAAGAAGAAACGCCAAGAAGATCCAGTGGGTTTAAAATAGATTGCATGCTTCTTTTCAAAAGGGTATAACAATACTTGTCTGTAAATATTAATTTCAAATTAAAGGGGAAAAAATGTATGTGACTATTTAAATGCCTTTGTCCTCGTGACAAGGTCATCTTTAACCCATAGAAAAAGGTATCTATATTGTACCGAGTCTGTCTATCTAAATATCAGCTGTGTCTGATTTCCTTTTGTTAAATTATCCAGTATGATCCAATACGCATGAAAATATTATTTGTAATTTTTATTATTATTAATGTCTGATTTTATTTGTATCTCATTAAAAACAGATATCGAGAGCTGATCATAATATACAGTCAATCAAATTTTGCCTGTTAGCGGGCGTGTCGTGTGACGTGGCACGGGGAGCGGAAGAGCTTGTTTGTGTTTTGGTTCTAAGGGGAAGTTGCGAGAAGAAAGAAAGGAGGAGACGTGACAGGATTGTTGAAATTGTTTTCTCGGTCCCCCCCTCCCCTGACACCAGCTCATCACAGTGTCCCGGGTTCTGTGTGCGAACTGCAGCGGTGCTATTTAAAGTTGTACATCGCCTGGCTCTCGGGTAACGTACTTGTCACGAATCTACGAGTTGTGGTTTGCAGCTGGCTCGGTGACATGACGCCGCCGTTTGTTTAGTTGTCATCGGTGACTTCGTTAGCTAGCTATGTCGCTAGCTAGGTGCAGCTAATGTCGATGGTGTTTGGTGGCATGGGGGATGCAGAAATGCGGGCCTTTGTCCTGTCGAGTCCGCTTGTTCTCTTGTATACCAATAGCAAAAAGCTTATAATGTCTTGTATAGCAGGTAGCATGGCAGGCTTACAGTGACTTTGCTAATAGGTGGACTGGGTTCAGTGGGTGTAATGCTAACAGTGACAGCAAGCTAACGTTAGTGTTTGTTAATTGAGGGGCTCAGCTATTCCCCTTGAATCAACATTAGCTAAACAGCACCGGCAATCAGGGTTTCAATTCGAAAGAAAAAAACAATGGCGTTAGTTTTATGCAGATAGCTGTCGTGTTGTTTTTATGTCCTTACAGCAGTCGGGAGACTAATGACACCAGACAGCTAGGAATGCTAAGCTTTGCTAACAGCATAAACGCTAACAAGCTAGAGAACAAAAACACTTTGGGGAAAATGGCGGCCCCCTCTAACATCAAAACAGACCGATAGCCACTGCTAACATAGAGCGAGTGTGTTTATAGTCAACTAAGTATCGAGGGTTCAAGCCAAATATGCACGTCGTAGTCATGTAATGCGCAGCGTTTGTTGACAAATCGTGTCATGAGTGTGGGTAAATACAGTCACTGTTCTCATTCCAGTTCCTGGAGCTTGTTTGTTTTCTTGCTGCGCGTCTTCAAGACTTCGTCTCAAGGATAAGTCGATTGAGATAAGGTTGAAATGTTTTGGCATGACCTCGCCGGTCAATTTATTGACTCGTTTCCCCAAAGCTCTTTATTTGAAATAGACCCAGAAATCTGGTGGCTGTTATCTTTACCTTAATAAACTCTGTTATATGAATGCCTTCAGCCTTTAGTGTTGCGACACAAGTAAGAACGGTTTGCCACAGATGTGGGCTAGTGACGCACAGGTTTATAGTGTGTGTGAAAAAAGTAAATGCTATTTATAGAGCTCATTTTGAAATGACTGGAGTTGACCATAAGTGCAGTACAGGCACACTCATTTTGTAATCCACGTCTCAAGAACCCAATTACAAACATGGAGCTTACATAAACAGGGAACATAATAAAATATAATATTTAAGAAAAGAAATCAGAAAACAGCTGCATTCTACCAATGCTAAACAGTCAAGTAAAACAGTAGTACAAAACATTTACAGTGTGTTTGACCAAACACTGACGGACCTGAGGCTAAACTAAAAGCAGCTAAAACAGGTATGTCATTAGAGCTGATCTAAAATCATCAGTTGTTGAACCAGTCCCCATGCGCTTAGGGGCAATAACCACAAAGTCCCAGTCGACTGTAGTTTTTAGGCAAGAAGGGGACACTGAAAGAAGAAGTTAGGGTGATGATGACAGTGATTTGGAGGCAAAAATATGGAGATAAAAAGTGAATCGCACATTTGTAATGGCAGACATTTTTTTTTATTTGCTCTGTTGCATTTGCATTTAAGCAGTCCTGGCACAGTTACTTTATAGACTGACTTGCCTATTTTTGCAATTTTGTTCAGAGTACATTCATAGCTGTATCCTCTTAGTTATCTTGCAGATTATAAGCACATGTTAACTCTTAACTTATATAATTAAGTAGCACTTTTCTTCTTGGAGCAGTCACAGCTACTACTACTCGTTCATCCCATCACACATAAATGCATACAAGTGCTTTTTTTTCTTTACCATAGCGCCTTTTCTATCATTTGCATGCACTCTAGCTCACAATGCATGGATTGCAGGCGACTCAGGGTTCAGTGCTTTCCCCAAGGATACTTCAGCATGCAGTCTAGAGTAGCCGGGGAATCTATCCATCAACCTTTCAAGCCACAGCCACAGACACTCAAATGTGTCGTATGCTATTACGTACTGCTACCTTACAGTATACTATAATTCAGTACAACATCTTCATAAACTGCCATTGAGGCTACAGCCACCACAGATTAATGCCTCTCCTCAACAGAGTGTGACTTGTGTGGTTAACAAAGGTTGCTTTGTGCTTTATTGCACTGCACCATATATGTGAGTTTGATGCAAGGCGAAAGGCCAGTTTTTGGTCAGGCACAAGATTCCACTAAATTCACCCTGTGAGGCCAGACATAAGCCGTGATTATCTCCTTACAACAGCCGTGTGTGTTTTTTAGAAATTCTGAGCTGTTCATTCCCAAATAAGTTAGTAAGCACTACATGCACGCATGGTATGCATGCATGCAATGGTTCTCGCAGTTGTACCACACTTGTGTAATGTGGGTGGGTCTTTCCCCGGCTCTCTTTCGAGTTTGCCATGAATCACTGTTGTAGTTCATGACAAGGCTTCCTTTTCCTGGTGTTACTGTAAGTTACATTCATGAAGAAGTGTCTGAAATTTCTGCATCCCCTGTCAAAAATTGCACATGCATTCAGAACAGGCCTTTGTGTGTTTGAAATGCTCGCATGTTATTTTTACTGACTTGAAATGTTCACAGAATAATTCAGTTATTAGCGTTATAAAATTGCATTTACAGCCATAATTTGCAGATAAAAAAGATAGCTAATTGATACAGGCTATCATTTTCAATGCACTGTATATGAATTATATTTGAATTTATTGATCACATAAATTTCTTCATGTTGCCTAAACTGCAGTGTGAAAACCACCTGTTTCTTTGAAACACTCTGTGTGTGAAAACCTTCTTAATTCACAACAAATTGAAGTGATACCAGTGGGTGCATGCTTGACTTTGATGTGTGCAAGTATGAGTAAGAGATGTATCATTTTTTGTATGTAGTCTGCTCTGAGGAACTTTCATTGACCTTTATGTCCCAGTCAAAATGTCAAAAGATTGCCTAATTTAGTTACTTTTTTCTAGTAGCCTATTCATTAGTCGGATTCTAGTTTTCATAAGATTTGTAATTTTATAATGATTTTCAGAGGAAGCTGATCTTATATTTATAAATTTGTTGCATGATTTGAATATATGAGTAATGCTCATTTGTCTTAAATGTCAGACTGTAATCTATACAAAAATAACTGTTCCGTTCCTGTTATGACTTGTTAAACTGCATTTGAAGGGAAAAGAAATTACAAATCTCTTAGAGTTTAATATCTGTTTTTACTCTGTGAACATGTTTGTTCTCGTGCTTCCTGCAGCAGAAGTCCCGACAGTGAGGTTCGGCACACAGGACACCTGGGATCTGACTAGGTCATGGCCAATCGAGGAGGAGCTACGAGACCCAATGGACCAAATGCAGGGAATAAGATCTGTCAGTTTAAGCTGGTGCTGTTGGGTGAATCGGCTGTGGGGAAGTCCAGCTTAGTGCTTCGCTTTGTCAAGGGCCAGTTCCATGAATTCCAGGAAAGCACAATAGGAGGTAAGGTCATGTCATCAAATCAGGATGTTTCTGACAACCTGGCAGTTCTGTTGTTTTTTTTTGTTGTTGTTGTTTGTTTTGTTAGTTTGTTTTCCTGAGAAGTCCCCATTCAGAATACTGATGCTTTTGTGTTGACACATTTATCAGCTGTTTATATGACCTCGTAAAGATATAGTTTTGGTGTCGTTAATGATCACGCAAAAACGACTCGTCTCTTCCTATCTCCACAGCGGCCTTCCTAACCCAAACAGTGTGTCTTGATGATACAACAGTGAAATTTGAAATCTGGGACACTGCAGGCCAGGAGCGTTACCACAGTTTGGCACCAATGTATTACAGAGGAGCACAAGCTGCCATTGTGGTCTACGACATCACAAACGAGGCACGTTCATCCTCGACTAAGACCCAGGCCTTCCAGAGCACTTGTAGAGCAAGTTAAAACATGAAAGTAGCATTAGATGTTGACAAGTGGTACCGTGTCTTCATTTTTATTTCAGGAGTCCTTTGCACGGGCCAAGAACTGGGTGAAGGAGCTACAACGACAAGCTAGCCCTAATATAGTCATCGCTCTGTCAGGAAACAAAGCTGACCTGGCTAACAAAAGAGCTGTGGACTTCCAGGTCAGTCTAGACAAACCTTAGACTGTGTCTTAGGCTTTCATGATTTTACTATTATTATTATTATTTTTTAATCTAATTTTTCTGTGACCTTTATGTGTGGAGTTTGCATGTTCTCCCTGTGTCTGCGTGGTTTATCTCCGTATACTCCAGCTTCCTCCCACAGTCCGAGCACATGTAGTTAGTACAGTTATTTAATTGGTGATTCTAAATCTCTCATAGGTGTGACTATGGTGTGAATGGCTGTCTGTACCTCTCTGTTAGCCCTGCGACAGGTTGGCAACCCGTCTCCAATCCCACCGCAAAACTGAGTTGGATGAGGGGAGGAAAATAGGTGGATGGGTGATCACGTTCCTAGCAGACGCTGTATTCTAGAGCCATGACTTCCGTTTTTAATTATCCCCTAATTGTGTTTCTCTTATGCCTGAAGAAATGCGTGTTGGAGGATGTATTAAAAATTCGTTTGTTTACACTGTGTCAACAGGACGCCCAATCATACGCAGATGACAACAGCTTACTTTTCATGGAGACATCGGCCAAGACGTCTATGAATGTGAATGAGATATTTATGGCCATTGGTGGGTAACTTTTAGGACTCAATTTGTAGATATTTGTTTTTCTGCATATTTCTATTATTCGGAGTTAGAACTGTTCCCTCATAGCAAGAAGGTGATGGCTTGAAGCCCAGTTTAGGGCTCCTTCTGTGTGGAGTTTGCATGTTCTCTGCTACCCTGGGCTTTCTACTGTAGCTCCAGTTTTCTTCTGCTGAAAAGTACACAAGGTTTACAAAGCTGCTGTTAGGCTTGGACAATCACAAATTCCTAAGAGGTTTCAGTTCCTGCTTAAAATGCAAGTTAAAAATTAACTGGAGGACAAGGTCAAACTAGCATGATTGATGTGTTTGTTAATGATTTTTTTTTTTATCATTTGTAGCTTCTCTTTTCTGAAAATCGTTGTATTATTTATTTGTTTGTTTGTTTGTTTGTTTGTTTTGATTTCTTCCAGCAAAGAGATTGCCAAAAAATGAGCCTCAGACTGCAGGAGCAAACACTGGGCGCAGCCGGGGAGTGGACCTGACAGAAGCTGCCCAGCCAGCCAAGGCTCCATGCTGCAGTAACTAACATGAAGAACACCCTCCTCCCTACCAACCTGTATGGCAGTAACTAATGTGGTCAATGCCCCAAATTCCACTGCAGTTACTAATGCAATGTGTCACCTACTCTCTGAAACAAGAAAATATGCCCTGCACTCGCCACCCCACTCGTCCACTTTTAACAAATTCATTGCCATCACACTGATCTTTCTTTGCGGTTCTGCCTCTTTTCCTCCATTATGGTTCTGCTGCTACCCGGGGAAGCCTCCTAACCACTTTGTCTTACTTTCTGCCATCGAGCTTGTTACATCTATCGTATTATTGATAGATCAGTGATCGCAGGTATTAGAAACATTAGAGCACCCTTCCTTGCGTTGTCATCATCTTTACACCGTGTAGACATGAGTTTCATCTGGAGGAAGTGATCACTTCTCTTTTCTGGGATAGCTTAAGTCTTTAATGTTGCATTTCTAATACCAGTCTTCTGTTTTTGTTCAATTTTTTTATAACTTTGTTGATTATTGTTTACTGTAATTTTGTCAAACTTGTGGATGCACATGCTAGCATATTTAGGCGGCCTAAAAGTTAAAGAGTTACACATTCAATCTGCAGTAGAGCAGAAAAAGTTGGTTGGAGGAGTGTGTTCTTGTTAATCTCAGAAAGAGGAAAGGTGGAGGGGGCAGAGAGAAATTGTAGATTCTGTCTCTCTTGTTGTTTCTAGGGCCCTTTATCTCGTAGCTGGGAGGGGGGGGAGAATAGTTGGTCCTTATAACCCCACTCCCTCCATTAAACCCAACGTAGCACTAGTGCATAGCTTCTCACACCACCTTGTCTCCATTCTGGGCCCGTGCCTGCTCCTAGCTGTCCTTCGTGGCATTGTGCAATGTTTCACAGTATTTACTCTGTGAGTTGTCTGCAAGGACCAGTGCTGCGCAGCAAATCCCCTTGTGTCTATAAACACAGCGCAGAGGCCTCTACGGTACACGTCAGTGTCACCAACTGCCCACTTCATGATGTGTCCGTCCATAAACCTTGTGTAGACCACCCTTTTGTTGTCATACTGCGGTCTCTTGGGTTTCTGTTTTTCAACGATTTATTCTTGTGCGGTTACTTTTTCCATTGTGTCAATGTTGCTCGACTGCTGGGTTTGCACTGGGGGTAAATCGAAGGTGATAGCAGTGAGTGGGGAGTTGCAATATGTAAAGTTGCTTCTTAATTAATATCGGAATCATAAATGTTTGACATCTTCTCTTGATTAGAAAGTGCTTTAGACACGGCGGTGTGTCATTCTGTACAAAGCCCGGCCCGGGTTTGCTGTCTGGTGACAGATTACATCCTTCGACTTATTCACACGCATTTATCCGTGTGTTTTGTTGTTTTTGGCTTTTTTTTTTTAACACACATTTCCACAATTAAACACACACACGCCACTGACTTGTCGTCTCCCTCCCCACCTTCCCCTATTCCCTGTAAGACCTAAACATCACTGTACATGAACATACACACAGTCTGTTACACATCATCCACACCTTTGTCAAGCACACACTCTGTCCCACCGACACACAACCCCCCTAATTGTTACACACACATGCGCACACACACATACAGAGTACTTTTAGTAAATAACTCTTTTTACAGGTCTGTCTTACTCATGCCTTGCACTAATGATGTTCATGAATATATCTTGTCATGATTTCAGCCAGTGTGATATATAAATATATATATATATATATAAATATATAAATATAAATATATAAATAATATACTGTAAATAAGGTGTTGCAGTGTAGTCTACCTTTTTCAATTTACCAGTGACAGGACTAATGCTTGCTAGGGAGTTGTCTAGATAATCATAAAAAAGTGTACAGTTAGCAGGAAGGGGAAAAAAAACAGCTACAATCTGGGTTTGGAGTTTTGTTGCTGTTCCTTTTTTTCTTTGTCTTTTTTTTTTTTTTTTTTTACACATATAAATGGTTAAATTATAATCAGTGGTGGTCTTTATAAATGTATCTAGTGTTTATTAACAACAACAAAAAAATGAAATTGCATTTATTTAGTCATCTGTCTTGTATATTTCTGTCATAAAAAATATATCCAAACATGTTTTGTTTTTTTGTTTTTTAAGATTATCTCTTTACTTTACACTTCTCCATTTTTTTCTTGTCTATGCCTTGTCCAGAACTATTCCTCCTCCTACTCCTCCCTGTAAGTAGACGTGAGCTTTCAGAGGCACAGGTTGTAAAACTCCAGAGGAGTCGGACACCACGCTGCACAGTTTTTGAGCTTTCCTCTGTCTGTCCTACTACATCTCGCTAACATTGTGACGATAATTGTAGGAACAGTAAAACAACTATCAGCTGGCACAATGGCGGTTTATGAATAGATGATTTAACACATAATAAGGATGCAAATTGTAATTTTTTTTAATTTTTTTTGTTTTGCAGTGAACACTTATTTGCAGCCAGAAACATTTAAATGCAAGCATTTTACAGTACTGTTATGTAATGACCAAATAAATACTGAAATAAATTTGATCATTTATTATTGTAATCAGGCGGTGTGCATGCATGTGCGTGCCTTTATTTCCTCTGGGCCTCAATAGCTTTTTTTATTTTATTTTTTTTACTTTTTGTCTACTACTCTATATATCTGTTTGTTTTGTCCTCTGGAGGTTATGACCCACACTTTTACTTCCCTCATACTCATCATGAAACTGATGAAAGCTTCTAATCATCATCAATCCTGAACTTTAACCTTTTTTTTATTATTGTTGTTTGGGTGAGCATACTTAAGACATTTCCACATGTTCACTGATATGATGTGAAAATATTTTTAAGGGTCTATAAATATATTTCTAAATGGTGTTGCTATTAATTTCAGTAATTTTTCAGTATAGTCTTGGAAGTCACCTGTGCCTGACTGAAAGTATGGATCCGCTTTTTTTTTTCCGCTCCCACCACGTTTGACCTTGAAATTTTGCTATAAATGGTTGCATTTTGTGACCTCTCCTCTTTGAATTGTTGTGGAGTTGGCCTATCCCATGAAGGTCCCCTAGCGGAGGAAAATGGGCCTACAGCGAGAAATTGAAAATAAGGATGAGCGCCATGTCTGATCCTCCGTTTGTGGAATAGAGCGGACGGCGCAGCGAATATTCCCCGGGCTGGCGGTCCCTTCGGGTTTCGGTGGGAATCATGGCCGACAGCGCTGGGATTCAGCAAGGTTCGCCGGCCATCGGAGCCGCGGGCCTGGTTCCGGCCGCTCCTGGAGCCGGAGGCACGGAGGGCTCAGGCGCCGCTAGAGGATCCGCACGTATCGCCGTGAAGAAGGCACAACTACGCTCCTCGCCTCGGCCCAAGAAACTGGAAAAACTCGGAGTGTATTCATCCTGCAAAGTATGCCACATCTGCAAAAGCAGGGCTTTAAAGCGGGGTAGTTTTCGGGGCTCATACTTAAAGTGTGCTGCATTTCCTGGGCTTGGTTGCAATAGTTTTCAAAATGCAAGCACAGCAAAGGAAGCCATTGCCGCACTTGAGTTTCTTGTGTTTTTTCTTTTGCATGCATGAACCAGTTACTAAAGAGGTAATACTAAAAAAATAAAATCCTGACACATTAAGTGTTTTGGAGGGGCTTTTTTACATCTGGACTTTTCAGCAGGGGCCTTGCAGCTGCAGCCTGTTACAGTGTTACTGCTTCTGTCAAGGTGGGGGGTTGGTGAACGTAAACATTGGCTTGACGCTGGTTTTGGGAGTAGCTGGCTGTGTGCACAAGGTCTGGATACGCGTGTGTGTTTGTGTGCGTGTGTGTGGTCGTGCACGAGACCGTCATAGCAGGGGGGGTAAACAGAGAGGAGTTTATTGGGCTTATGCAGCGTATGATCCGCAGAGAGGGACGGGGTCTTTGTTTTGACAGGGTGACAGCTGCTGGCGGGGGCGGAGTTTGTTGTTGTTTCAGGGCGCATGCTCAGAACAGCACCTTCAGCTGATCATGTCCCCGCCCCCTGTTACTGTAGAAAGTCGGGCATAACATCTCTCGTTTAACCTGAGAGAGCCTGGAAAAGCTTTTAAGATATTTATGTAATAAAAAAGCAAAACTTAACAAGTTGAATGGTTTTCCTTAATTGTTCTATGTAATCTGCCCCCATTTATTGCTCATTTGCTGCTTTTAATATCGTCTTTGTGCCTGCTTGTACTCATTTAACCTCTATTTATCGCAGGCTGAAGGAGCCTGTAAGTGTAATGGCTGGAAAAGTCAGAACCCCCCTCCTACACCTCCTCAAACAGAGCAGCAGTCCAACGCAGTCAACCTCCAGGAGCCCTGTCGGAGCTGCTCTCACACTTTGGGTAAGTCGGCATGCCCACCAGAGAAGCTGCATCAGAAAATAATACCAAGAAGGGTAAGCTAGATGAATTTCATTGGCTTATTTCTTCTTTCCAGGTGATCATGTGACCCATCTAGAAAATGTTTCAGAGGAGGAAATGAACAGGCTTCTTGGCATTGTTCTGGATGTGGAGTATCTGTACACGTGCATTCACAAAGAGGAGGATGCTGACACTAAACAAGTCTACTTTTCCCTCTTCAAAGTAATTTTATTGCTTTACACTCGATTTGAAGCAAGGTAGAGTTTTCAGATCTCGCTCGCTTTAAACAAACGCCATCTTTTTCCATTGTCAGCTGCTGAGGAAGTCCATCCTACAGATGGGTAAACCAATGTTAGAAGCACAGGAGAGTCCGCCGTTTGAAAAGCCCAGCATCGAGCAGGTAGAGAAATAAGTCTCCACTGCACAGACTCTTTCATCCTCTGATCTTTATCTTACTTTTGATGTATTTGTTCTTTCTTTTACTCCACGTTTCTGAAATAGGGGGTGAACAATTTTGTCCAGTACAAATTCAGCCACCTGCCATCTAAAGAACGCCAAACCATTATGGAGCTGGCTAAGATGTTTCTCAACCAGATCAACTACTGGCAGTTGGAAACGCCCTCTCAAAGACGCCAAAGGGTGCCCAATGACGACGCAGCTGGATACAAAGTCAACTACACTAGGTAGCAGAGTAGACAGATATCTTGTGCCTGCCTTTCCTGCACCAGTACAGTTACAAGCTGTAAGATAATTATGGGATATGCTTGTTCCAGATGGCTCTGCTACTGCAATGTTCCTCAGTTCTGTGACAGCCTGCCCCGCTACGAGACCACTCAGATCTTTGGGCGGACGCTTTTGCGTTCTGTCTTCACTGTGATGAGGAAACAGCTGCTGGAGCAGGCCAGACAGGAGAAGGACAAGCTCCCTCCTGAGAAACGCACACTCATTCTTACACACTTTCCCAAGTAAGAGATACAGAAGGCTCACATGCAGTTAGCCACACAGGCCTTCAAGTAGCTACACTCTGGGATGTGCTTCACATCCTCAGTATGAAACCAGACCGTAGCCACTTATGTAAAGTTGACTGCTTGTTTTAATATAGTTAAGTAGTTGTTGTGATTTCTCTGCTCAGGTTCTTGTCAATGCTGGAGGAGGAGGTTTACAGTCATAACTCTCCAATCTGGAGCCAAGACTTCTTGGCAGGGGCAGCGGGAGGGCAGATTCCTATCCACACAGGTGACACGCCCTCCCACACACCCTCGCCGAAACGCCTCTCAAGATGACACTTGTTTTTTTTATGAAAAGGTTAAAGCCTATGACTGGATAAATTCAATTTCCTCTGTGGTTTTTTTTTTGGTTTTTTTTGTGTAGTTATAAGTGCTGCTTCAGTGGCCAGGCCGCTGTACTACAGCACCAGTCCCGTGTCAGTGGACCCGTCCACCTGCGGCAGTGTCAGTCCTGCCAGGAAGGCAGCTTCTGTACTGGAGCCAAACCCAGGTATTGCTGACAAGCCTGTTATTACTCACGAGGTTTCAGTTAAGCCAACTTAATGCGTAACAGTACAACAACAAAAAGTGTGGACCTGAGTAAAGTCAGCCTTGTTTTACACATTTAAAAGTGGAACGGTTTCTACTTTACAGCGAAATGACTCAAGTCAGCCGTCCTTTAAGATCGTTTCTAGTTTTGGAGATTTTTATGCTTTTAGTGTAACCCTGTTTTAAATGCTGCCTCTAAGATCTGTCATCACATGAAGGTGAAGTAAACCCCAGAGCTGCTTCTAACAAACAAAGTACATATAGGTTTAAAATGAAGACTGAAGATAGTAGACTTCAGATGTCCGTCACTTGTTTACCAACCATACCAACAGTACCACATCACCCCAACAGAGCACTTTGCTCTCAGACTGCAGATTAACTTGTGGGTCCTAGGATATTTAAAAGTAGAATGGGAGGCAGAGGCTTCAGCTTTCAAACATCTCATTCTGTAGAACCAGTTTCCAGGATTTCTGTCTCCACCTGCTTTCTTCTTTTTCCCTCTAACGCCAGTAACAACAGATGGTTGCCTCTCCCACAGCCTGGTTCTGTTGGAGCTTTCTTCCTGCTAAAAGGGAGTCTTTCTATCCCACTGTTGCCAAGTGCTTGCTCAGAGGGGGTCGTCTGATTGTTGGGGTTTTTTCTCTAATATTGTTTTTACCTTACAACATAAAGCCCCTTGAGTAATGAGAGCTTTCCTCTGTGTACACTCCCCAGCTGGAGAAAAGCGTAAACCTTCTGAGCCCCTTTCCCATGAGGAAAACAAGAGACCCAGGGTGGTTGGTGACATCCCCATGGACCTCATCAATGAAGTCATGGCGACTATCGCTGATCCTGCTGCCATTCCAGAGGTAACCCATTATTGTTTAGTCACAGCATGGAGCCCAATTAGTTGGAAGTGAATTTAATCTTCATATGATAAGTATGATAAGTAGTAATTTGGGCTAAAATTCTATCATTTCTATAATTATAGCCCACTTATAAGCTGTTTGTCAGAAACTGTATCCGAGTGCTTGTGAGGCCTGATGATTTCCACTTCCTCTTCTTGTATAACGCTCCCTGTTATGTTATCTTTGCCATGTCGAAAACTTAATCGCGAGCTTCATATGAAATCTGAGCCAATCACTGCGGCGCGGTGTCATCTATGAGTGGGATAAGATAACGGCCCTTTTTACACTGTTGCTGTATGTGACAAAAAGTAAAAGTGAGAAGACACACCAGCGCATATCACTCCAGCTTCTGATACACAGCTGTTTTCTTGAAACCTTTCTGTCAGTCAAGACGTCTCACATCTGTAAATCAAGTGAAGATAAACGCAAATGGCCCGTGCTCTCTTCTTCAGTTGTTTTGGGGTTACTCCTAGTTTATTTTGAAACTGGCATCACCTGCGATGCTTTTCAATCTGACTCAAGTCTTGGATTTTTAAGAGAAATAAGAAGGCACTGCAGATTTGCAAAGGGCAGTTATGTAATCTTCACAGATACCATCCAGACCCACAGCCTCTATCAGATTTTCCAGGCTGACACTTTATAACAAGAGTAAAAAGAATTAAAGTCATTAGATAATTGTAAATCTTCTCATCCTTCCAGCCTAATCATTTTCCTGTCAGTGTCAGATCTCATGGTAATTGGTCTTAATC